AACATTTTGTTGAATTACTAAGCAGGAAATGATCTGTTGCACAATCGATTACCCTTTTTAAATTACTATTGATAATGTAACGGTTAGAATCGCCATTACGCAATACGATATGCAGTTAGGTGTATGTTGTGTTGCGTTTCTCACGTACTTATTTTTGTATTTGTCAAAGGCTGCGAACACACAGCGTGTTCGCAGCCTTGGTTTTTGAACGCAGTTCGGGTTTTTGTCTTTGTCAATGGTAGTTGTCAATAGACCTTTTCATCATGTGATGTGCGCAAGCGCAGCCACCATGTTAAAATGGCGGTAATTCAAAAGTTTCGTACTGTTTTGATCGACAATGGCTGGGAAAGCAATATTATCTCTACAGAAAAATTATTCATTAGAAAAAATGGTTGATGGTGATTAACTTTTTCATAACTCTGTAGAAGCGCATAGTTGTGAGTAGTTGAAAAGGTGGATGTAGTGTCTTGGACGTTTGCTACAAACGAAAAAAGTCGACTGATTGAGAGGTAAGGTGTATCAATACTTTTTAACTGTGTACAAAATTAATGAAAACAAATAATAATTATAACTCTATTCTAATTTATTATGCCAACCAACTATTAGTACTTGCAAAAACACTTTAATTAACATGAAAGTTAATCACGAGTATAAATAATAAAATAAATTATAATATTTTGAAGATCAACATGACATTTTTAATCATATTGCTGTGTATACCGAAGTAGTATTTAATGTTAAAAAAATATTGTTTCATACCAGATAAGAATTTTCTTCTGTCGGATCACTTTCTCCATCAAAATGTAATGAACAAATATAAGTATCTTTAGTAACATCATCGAAAACCGTAGTCACTTCACCATATTTTTTTACACCTAATGATCATTTCGAACGTTTAATATGGATTTTGCCTGATAATTTGATAATTTTTTTCGATATTGCAGCCAAGGCTTTGGAAAATTGCCTTTGAATGATTTATACCGAGTGTCAATTTTACATATTCCTTAACAACACCGTTTGATTGTTTCTTTCCGTACAGATAACATAATTATAATTGATTACAAAAATGTATTTTTCAATTAAGACACTAAAATTATTATTACTTTGCTTTTTCTTCCTTTTTTTTAAATGAATATACTTAAATTATTATTTATTAATTACATTTTTTTTTTCACGTGGGCATTTTAACATGCTTGTTTACAAAAACAGTACGAAAAATATGGCTGATACTGACGCATGCGCACAAAAAAATATTGTGATGAAAAGGTCTATGGGGGTTGTAAAAACTCTGGGATAAAAAACGGCCAAGTGTATTGGAAGTTGGAAGCCCATTTGGATGTGAACTAATTTTAATTTACTATGAAAGATAATATTTACCAGCCGAAGAGAGATTGTACAGTAAATTAATTGTAATAAATTGATTACGTCGTCACTATTAGTGGCCGACATAGAAATTTGCAATATCTCTCTAATATCCCTCTAAAGTCTAAAGAAGCCTTAATAGAAAATTGTATATAATTTAGTATATTAATCATTTATTCATTATAATATAAATTCTAAAAACTTATTTAAAAAAAAAATTAAAAGCCTGGATTAAAACCATTCCAAGACATCAAATTCACACTTACATAGGAACTTAAAACATATTAGTAGTTAACATTTCTTTATTTATGCAATTGCCTTATTTTGGTACATATTCTTTATTTTATTTCATTTTAATTAATACTCCTGTTGAAAATTCACTATAGTTTGTGTCTGATATTATGCACTTTATAAATATTAAAGTTATAGTATTAGATTATGTTTTTATATTTGTCATTTTAATAAAATTTGTTTATACCCATACACAGGCTTGACCTTCTGTGGGTTTCATATATTTATTAATTATTATATCATCAATATACAATAATTATTGATATTATTGTATGTTGATGTAAACTTTCAAATTAATAAATATTATTATTATATTATTACTATTTCAAATGGATTATCCGGTATATTTTTTGTTTTTTTAAGTCCTTAAGAAATGCTGATTATTTTTCATGTAATGTTCCCTATACCAAAAAATATACAGGGTGATCCATTTGAAATAACAAAGTTCATTATATTTCCAGAAAACCGAAAGATCTGACAACTATGTAAATACAACCATAATATCGGCCGTATTACAAAACCTTTAGATACCAAAGTATATAAAAATCGTGCAAGCTGTTTTCGAGATAATTGAGACTTTCCATATTTCAAACTCACTATGTATACAGGGTGGACCGGATTTAATTTGCGTATACAGAGATCTCGTAAACCGTAAGATATACATTATCGGTTAAATGGGGAAAAAGTTTCGTATTTTGACGGATAATACAATGGTCCATAGAAGTTCCAGATTTCCCGACTGGTTCCGGAGATATTCGATAAAATCCGAAAAACCTCATTTTCGTTTTTAAGTCGTGCGTTGTTATTATAAAAGATACAAAAAAAAATTATACAAAGTTTTTATTATAAATCAAGTTTCCTATAATCTGCCATGTCAAAATTTTTATTACGGCGTTTCGTATTTCCAGGGCCACCTTCAACTTATTTTTTTAAATACGGACCTGTATTTTTAACTGTAATTTTTTATAGCTTTTGCATAGCTAAATACAACGATATGTTACACCTTACCATTTTACTACGTTTCGTCTATGAAAATATCATCAGTTCTGTAGCTTCTGATGATACCGTTTCTTACTTGATTAAAACAAAGTAGCTAATTAAATAATAATTACAAAACAAAAAATACTTAAAATGTGAAATTTTAAATATTATTTGAAACATAATACAAGAATTATTTAATTACAAAATGGGTTACAATTTTTTATCAAACATGATTAAGTACAACCAGCAAACAAGACTAATGAAGAACGAATTATGGTTGTACACATTCTACAAATAATAAAGCTAATAACAAAAACATAAAATGAAAAACAAAACGGTCAAGCAATCTATAAATTCCTATCACCTGATTTTCTGTAAAATCTTTCGCTTAGGTTTCTCACACCGTATTTTTTCTATCTTTAATGTTTTCATTTTTGCATACATAAGATCTTAACAAAATCATGTTTGCCATGCATTTCAGTTGTAACTTGTCACCAATATTTCTGTTTTAATCTGTAACATCTAATATTACAGTACTTTTTAGCTTTAAATAATTTAAAATTAAATAAATATTATGGTTCTTTATACTGAAAAAGAGAAGAAAGATATGTATGATGTGTACATAAGATGCTATAGGAATGAAACCCGGTCAGCTCAGACTTATTTAGATTTATATCCTGATAGACAACAGCTAACTAAGAGGATGTTTTCTTATATTTCAAAAAATATGGCAGAGCATAGCAGTGTGAAAAAAAGGAGAACTAGATATCAGGTTAGACATACTGATAATGAAATTAATGTTCTTGCCCAAATACATATTAACCCTAAAAATTCTACTAGGCGAATAGCTAAATAATGTGTAGTAGGAACCTCCACGGTTAAAAGAATTTTAAAGAAACATAAATACCACGGGTATAAATTTTAAAAAGTCCAGAAATTACACGCTGGAGACTCTGATAGAAGACTGATGTTTTGTCGTTGGTATAGTAGAAAACTGCGCAATGACCGTTCTTTCAACAAAAAGATATTATGGACGGATGAATGCTCCTTTACTAATAGTGGAATATTTAATCCCAGGAACAACCATTTGTATGCTACTTCTAATCCCCATTTAATCAGAAAAGTTAGACCACAGTTCCGTTTTACCCAAAATGTGTGGTGTGGACTAATCAATAATCAGATTATTGGGCCAATTTTTTTGGATGGTAATTTAAATCAGTTCCGATACCTACATTTATTGGAGGAAGTACTCGATCAGATGCCCTTACAGACAAGATAAAATCTTCAATACTTTATGCAAGACGGTTGTGGTGCACACAATGCGAGGAGGGTTGCAGAGTATCTCGATCAATATTTTAGAGGTAATTGGATTGGTACCAATGGACCAATAAGATCTCCGTGTCTTAACCCCATGGATTATTTTGTATGGAGCTTCGTAAAGAACCAAATCTACGACAAAAATATGCCAAATAATCTACAAGAACTTCGTCAACGAATAGTAGATGCATTTGAAAAAATTACACCAGAAATGCTTGATAAAACAACATCCCAAATGTCTAGGAGAATTGCACTCTGTATCCAACAGAATGGACTACATTTTGAGCAACTATTGTGACTGTTTTTGTTTTTGAATTTTGTTATTAGCTTTATTATTTGTAGAATGTGTACAACCATAATTCGTTCTTCATTAGTCTTGTTTGCTGGTTGTACTTAATCATGTTTGATAAAAAATTGTAACCCATTTTGTAATTAAATAATTCTTGTATTATGTTTCAAATAATATTTAAAATTTCACATTTTAAGCATTTTTTGTTTTTTAATTATTATTTAATTAGCTACTTTGTTTTAATCAAGTAAGAAACGGTATCATCAGAAGCTACAGAACTGATGATATTTTCATAGACGAAACGTAGTAAAATGGTAAGGTGTAACATATCGTTGTATTTAGCTATACAAAAGCTATAAAAAATTACATTTAAAAATCCAGGTCCGTATTTAAAAAAAATTAGTTGAAGGTGGCCCTGGAAATACGAAATGTTGTAATAAAAATTTTGACATGGCAGATTATAGAGAACTTGATTTATAATAAAAACTTCGTATAATTTTTTTTTGTATCTGTTATAATAACAACGCACGACTTAAAAACCCAAAATGAGGTTTTTCGGATTTTATCGAATATCTCCGGAACCAGTCAGAAAATCTGGAACTTCTATGGACCAATGTATTATCCGTCAAAATACGAAACTTTTCCCCATTTAACCGACAATGTATATCTTACGGTTTACGAGATCTCTGTATACGCAAATTAAATCCGGTCCACCCTGTATATGATAAATAGTACAATACTGTTTAAAGAAGAAATTAGACCTAGATTTGCTCAAAGGTACTGGTCTATATTTAATACTTACTGCTTTTATAAGAATAGCCCCACCTTTAACTGCAACTGTTTGCATAACTTTTCATTTGGCAGCTATATCAAAAATACCACACTAATGTTTATTGAAACAATTTTTTAAGCAATCATTTTTATTCGGTTAACTGATTAAAATTAAGCTAATTTAAATAAGCTACATATTTACAAAAAATAAAAGAACTCTTATGTTCAACCAATAAAATATTAATAACTACAAATTCATCCCGAATCGAAAAATAACAGTATGAAAAAAATTATTATAATTGTTTGCTTGTAAGAAAAGTAATAAATAACTGATTAAAGAAACATTTTTGATTATAAATAATAAATAAATATGTTAATCAATTGTTCATTTAGCAGTAAAGGCAATAAATACAATACTGGCACGGAAAAATAGTCTGTTAAGCTATCTTTAGAAGTGCTTCCCAAGATTATGTTCAGAATTTACTCAACCAACCCATTAAAATTGCCACGTTCAAGAAGATGCTTGTGAAGCTAAATATTCTTGATACTTTTTTTCTTGAGCTTGATACAGTTTTTGCAACTTTTTTAATTGTCCTTTACTGACTTCTTTGCCTTCCACATCATGTGTTGGAAAACCCTAAAAAACCAAAAGAGTGAAAGTAACCTCAATTATATTGCTATTGTAAAATAAAAAATAAAAATACTACAAGACTTACATTGTCATCAAATTTCGAATATTTGTCAGTTTCTTTCCGAAACAGTTCGCTAGGAGGCATCTTTTTCAATTCTTCTTTAGCTGCAGCAGCTGCAGCCAATTCCGCCTTTTTCCTCTCTTTTTCTGCAGCCTTTTCTTGTTCCATCTTCTTCCTCGCCTCTTTTTCTTTCAATAGAGTGTCTTTGTCAACCAATTTTAAGGCAGTAGCTTCACCTATGGCCACCAAAAACGGCATTTTAGTATTTTCTTCAGCAAAACTGTTACAATCATTTTATAAGTTCGGTATATTCGTTGTGAAAATGAGAATAAACAGAAACAATACTGAATTTTAATTGCTTTGGAAAATGATTTTTTTCAGTTCAAATCAGTTACGTACTAAAGTCATAAAAATTTATCAATTTCAATTAAGTTGGACATTAATCTTGTTTTCTATTAATGCTGGATAGGTATTTTCATTCACATAATGTTTATGGATTTAAAAAACTAATAATCACTGTATAAATATTAATCTGAATGGTTTAGTTTTTCGTATCAATTTATTAAAGTAGCTACAATTACTTATTAATTGTGTAAGTTTTTTTTTAAACTGAAAATAAAATGTTATTCCAATATGCAATTTCAATTTTGTTCAATATTGTTGAATGATATTTGGATAGTTATGAGTTATGACTGGTATTGTACTTGAATAGTTGTTCTTTTATCTAATATACATAAGTTTAATCTATTTTTACTATTAAAAACAAAACGTAATAATAAAATATAACTAGAACTGAAAGCAAAAGATTTTAATGTCTCTACTCTGGCTATCTAGCCACTAATTCCTATTCTTCTTTTTCACTGCAAATACACGGCCTACCAGTTCCCAATTAGGTATTCTAAACAGAAAAACTGTCAGTGGTAAGGGTTGGTATATCTAAGGGGTTGCGACATACAATATATTATATCTACAACACGTGAAATCGTGAATAATGGATTAAATTTAAATATTTTATGTTGAACACAATGAAAATATTTAAAAAAAAATCGCTCATACATTTTTCATAAATTGTCAGGCTAGGCGCCTATTATTTCAAATAAAAATAGTGTTACAAGACAAGACTATGTCGCAACCCCCTTAGAGATACGAGACCTTCCCACTGACAGATACTGTTCAGTGTCCAGCGTTGCCAGACATACGATAATTATCGTATTTGTACGATATAAGCAGGGTATGATCTATGATGTACTATCCATAATGGATAAATGTACGATAATTTATGAATGTTGATAAAAAGAACTCATCTCAGCAAAGGACCCGGCACTTTCTTTATGTAAAGTGGTGACCGGTCAAATTTTTTGAAACTTTGGTATGTTGTGTACTCGAACTCGTAACCAAAAATGCAACGGTCCCAACTCAATCCTATGACTAGTTTTCGATATAGGCTAGATTGAATTTCTGTTGCATACACACGTTTAATACATGTTTTAGTAATACATTATTACATGCTTATAATTAAAAATATTTCTAATTACAGGGTGATTTACGATTCACAAATGTATGGCGGTAGTTTTTTGGCAAAATCTCATTAATTCTGTGACGTCAGTAAGCATATTTTCAATAAATACTATTCAATATGGTATTTTGGCGACAAAATATTGCACAGTAGGTATATATTTCTTATACAGGGTGTTTTATAGTAAGAACCACAATATAAAATATTTTTTTAAGGATTAATTCAAAACCCTGTACTTATGAATTGATTTTTGGGAAAATATATGTATCTCTAAGCTTAAAAATATACAAGGCGGCTTATTTATTCAAAGGCATGTTATTTTAACAACAGTGCACTAACTAAAATTGCCCATGCGCAGTCTGCAGCGACGTAAATTGTAGTTATCTTAGTTTCTTTTAGTCATTTTGTTTTTTGCTTGGCAGCTTCTTTGATTACACAAATTTACTTTTACCTATAGTGATCTGGCAACATTGTAACGATTCCAATCGCTCCAGTCTAGTGATAGGAAAAGCGTTATTTTCATTTAACAGTTACAAGTGTTACTGTTAGTTTTAAATAACAGCTTTAAATAACAGGTTATCGTTATTTTTAACATCTACTAGTGGTTGAACTAGGAAACTACATAATAAACGACGTGCACCTATTTAAAACGAAATAAAAATACCCCAGGCCCCTGACTACTCGACCATTTCTCAATGTCAGTAGACTTGGAATGGTCCAGAGTTCAGCACCAGTATGCACAGAAACTTGAACGCATGCGACACTGAAACAACAGTAGTAAATATCTATATAACGATTGCTAGTAGCGTTATTAAAATAACGCTTGTAACGTATGTTATTGCAAATTTGGCGGCGCGATCGACGGCAATGAATGGCATCGACCAACACTTTCTCATTAAGTCGCATTTCGCGAGAAAGCAATCGCCAACCGTTTTGTGTTATGGCGTTATTTTGCACCTGTTATTTTTGATTTAGATTAACAGTTGAAACAGTTGCTTTCCAAATAACAGCTTAAAAATAACGGATAGTTAAATAACAACACATCACTACTCCAGTCGTAATGGTGTGCATATGCGCAGTAAAATCGTCCTAAAAATTCAAGATTACAGCGAGAACTGATTTTTTTTTAAGAATAAAAGTTCAAACACTTTCAACGTGGTTTTAGTGTATAATTCGACAAGCTAGAAATTACCCGTGATGCGTAAAAAAAGAAAAGAGAACAACCAGAGAGAGATCGAAAGTCTTGTTGAAGAAGTGAGGTTTCCCTTACAATGTCTACTTTTGCCAATACGCATCGATTTCTCCCAGGTCACTTCTGCCTTTTATTGTAAATCAATGTACCGATAGATCGCAAATAGCGCCAAATTTGAACTTAAAATTGTTTTATTAAGTTTAACGCACGTGATATAACGAATGGTAGACATTTTGAGCAGAGGAAATCCTTCTAAACACCAAAATCCACATAATGTGTAAGCCAGTAAAACCACATATCTGACTATACAACTTTTGTACCAGGTCTTCAACAATACCCGAAACCCACGTGATCTGATAACCATCAAAAACCCATCGAAAGGGCCTGATTTGACGTAAAATGAACTAAACTGAACTGTCAGTCCTGTCAGAAATGTCACTAGCGTTCATTTGGGGACTGGCAGGGACTGGGAATATTTATATTATATTTGTTTACATTTTATAAACACCTTTATTGGCTTTATTCCATTTTTCATTTAATACTAATAGAGCAATTAGTTATTTTTAGAGATAATTGGTGGCTTAATTCTTTTTTGTTGGTAAGTACAAATTTATTTACTGTAACTAGAAAAAGTTAATGACTATATATCATTTATTTCAGGTAACTGGAACAAAATTATTTTATATTCGTAATTGTATTCCAAAATTTGAGGAACGTTTTCCAGGTGAATAAATGAAATGTGATTCTTTTTTGTCGTCATAAACAAATATTTGTTCAAAATTATAAAAAAGGAAAAGCTCTAAAAGGCCCAAAGTAATAACAAAAGCTGTTGAAGATGTACAAATTAACATGGTGCAAATTCCCAACAAATTAGTAAAAAAAAAAACAGCACCTCAAACAGGTATGAACGGGGTTTCAAAGACTGACTGACAAGTGAAATTCAAAACATATTTTTTTTTTTAGGTTTGTCGCTACGAACTAGTCATAAAGTATTGAAAATATTTCTGATAATGTATCCCCTATAAAGTTTCGGTAATGCAACAATCATTTTACCCTAATTTTGTTAAACCTACCTATGGAATATTACAGATTGCTCAATTCAAAATCGTTTGTGTGACGTTTATGAACCCGAGCACCTATATTAAATTAAATACAAAATATAACTGAGGAGAAACTGCATAATGTGTTCAAAAAAGAATTGATGCTTGCATTAAAGCAGGTGGTAAAGATTTTGAACAGATAGGTACTGGAATTAGTATCGATTGTACACCACCGATTACTACTCAATATCCTTTTAAATAAAATAGTTGTTAATAGGTATGCCTTTATAATTTAGACTGAGAAGTGAGAGCTGTAAGGTAAAACAAATACGTGCTTGTTACATTAATAATATTAATATTTTTTTGTATACATATGAGTAATAATGTATTTTGTAAATGGTTTAAGCAATGTAACAAATAAATGATAGAACACAAATTATATTTGTTTATTACTTCCCATTGCCCAGGTACAATTCCAGTAAGTTTTAAATTTGTTTACTTAAACTGCAATAATTGCCAAATACTGCCATTGTCTTCTGCCTATCGTATTTAAAGTTTCAGCTGTAGCTAAATATCTTAGAGTCAATCTAAAGTAAATAGTATTTAATGTTATTCAATTTTTAATGCATATTTCAGTTTATTATTCTTTTCGTTAAATACAAACTAGATATAATAATATAATAGCTCAGTTTTTAAGGTTACGTTAATTATAACAATGTTAAAATTTAAATTATTGCATTTGACTAAATCTAATTAAAATATCGAATTCTAACATTAAAATACAATAATGTAAAGCACCTCTAATTAATATTATGATTTTGTGTTGTAATTTTAGCAGTTACCTAACTGAATTTTCTTCTCGTAGTTGCAGACCATAAAAAAGGGTCTATTTTGTAATAAAATACCTACGGCACTGGCTCACATCTAGGGATTTTTACTTTTATTTTCACCAATCGCTGTCATGACGATTTGGTCACGTGGGTTTTCGGTATTAGGCATTCCAAACTGAATGCCTACCAGTGGGCTTTGACGGGTTATGATATTGCAAAATTATGGCAACCCTGTAGACCTGGTGATTTGACAAGGTCAATGAAATAGCTGGTTACATAGATTGATTATCCATATTTTTCAAAATAAACATAAGCGTATGCCTTGAAGTAAAAATGTAAGCAATTATTTTTTTTTAAATATCTAAAGGGTAAAAATTGGTTTTAAAACACATTTTTGCTAAACCGATTCAAATTAATAAATATTTGCCAGGTAATATGGCCGCTCGTAAACGACCAGCTTTGAGCAATCTATATAACTATATATGTATCATTGACCCTGTTAATGACAACATGACAACAGGGTTGCCATATCTAAACTGTCATTACCCACTGGTAGCCATTTGGACAGGTCGTTGGAATGCCTAATTGTTGAAGACCCAGTATAATATTACAACCAGGAACAACACTGTAGCTGTATCTTTCTTGCATGTCAACTGACAACCTAACTGCAGCGTTGCCGCAACATTAAAATGTACTTTTTGGATTTGAAACCTCTGTTTTCAGAGAGGTTGATGTAACAACTAAGCAAAAAAGCTCTTAAAGATTAAAAACAATGAGTGGACTGTGAGTATTCAGTACATATACCGAAACGGCAACGCTGCAACTGTTATGATCAGGATTACGTGGTATTTACTCCGTTCTGGAACTACAATGTTGCCAAACATACCGACAAATATTGAATGTTGCAACCGGCAGTGAAATCAAAAGATACATCATGAATTATAAAAATATTATATAATATGCCAATTTTATAAGCTAAGTTAAAATATGAACCCTAAAAATAAACAGATTAAGAACAGTGAGTTAGATCGGAGAGAAATATAAGTAATGATGACCTGGAGCTGGAGATTAGAGACTGGAAGGAAAAGGCAAGAAACAGTATAAATATCTGTTAATGTTTATCAAGCTCATATATTTTAATAAACATTCTTGAAACCCAATGTAAATATTTTTGCTATAAAAAAAATCCTGATAATATTTAGAAAATTGCAATTTTATATGTTACATGGATTATCAATTTCTATGATTGATTGTTTAAATTTAGGTTTACCTTCTCTATCTTCCAATCTAACGCCAACATTTGGTAAAATTTCGTCTCTCAAATCGTCACACTGTTTGAGAATCTCGGTGGCTTTCAGAGTCCTCGCGCTCGTCCTAACTTTGTCCCTGAATTCTGCTAAAATACTTAAGTACGGTAATATCACACTTTCAATCTAAAAAAAATTATATATAAAAATACAACAATTTCTTGAGAAACTTAATATTTACAAATTTGTATAATAATATTAATGTTTTATGAGACATTTAAAATTGTATAGGCTTACGTTATCCGATTTTCCAGTTGATGTAGGGAATCCTACACAATCAGCTTCGGTAATGGTTCCAAAAATTTTCAAAATACTCGTAACATATATTCCTACATCAGTTAAAAGTAAAGAATTTGGAGGTTTTCTCTCTCTAAGGTAAATATTTCCAGTTGTCACGAGTTCCCTTAAAGCATCAAGGGCACTTCTGGTATCAAAATTATCTAAAAATAAAGGAATAAAAAAGGTACATGCATTATACAACAAAGTCCACAAAAAACTACACTATCGACACAAAAGACTAGATGATATTCACTCTTTATTCGAAAAAAATTATTTAAATATTGTATGGTTGCGTGTGCCATCTAGCGACTATAAATAACAATTAGGCATTCCAACGACCTGTCAAACAATAGCTGCCAATGGGAAGTGTTAGTATATTTTTATGGGGGTTGCGACATAGCCTTCCATCTTGGATGCTATTTTAATTCGAAATAGTAGTTTGCAAGCCTGTCAATTCGTAAAAAAATGTTTAAGCGTTTTTTTATAAATATTTTCAATGTGTTTGACATAAAATATTTAAATATAATCCATTATTCATGATTTTATGTGGTATAGATAGAATACATCGCATGTCACACTCCCCGAGATATACCAACCCTTCCCACCAACAGTTCGTTTGTTTGGAATGTCTAATAGCCGATAAAAATCAAATAGTACGGGTCAAGAAATCAATCGACAATAAGTCAAAAGATATCGCATTGGTGAGAGCTGTCACCATTTGTCACTCGTGGGTGCACAACCACATACTTTGATTACTATACAGTGCAAGAGAGAGGTCCGACACGCCTAACATAGGGCGCGGCCATTTTGATGCCTTTGCCACAGTTTATAGCTAAAGAATCAGTTCGCTCACTCTGCGTCGGCACTTTTGATCTCAATGTTCCAGTTTATACACTGCGCAACTCGGATAATGGAATATATGACAACCGCATATAATAAAACAGCAGTCTTCTGCGCATCCTGAATTTGTATCCCTGGAGTGGATGTTAATTTGGAACTTTCAACTGGTCCGAGTGAGCTGATTCTTTTGTAATAAACTGTGACTTCAAAAATAATATTTTGTGACACTGACAGCAGCAAGTAAAATATTAAAAATATTGCGCCAAGATGTAGGCAACACGTATTAAGGCATCAAAATGGCGGAGTTTTAAAAGGCACTCATAAAGCTGTGCGACCATTCTCCGTATAGTAAGAAAAAATCAAAGTATGTGGTGCACAAAAACACGGTGGATGACGGTTATTTATAAGGCATTCTAAACAAAAAGGCTGCCGAAGAGAAGGGTTGGTATATCTAAGGGGTTGTGACATATGATGTATTCTGTCTACAACACGTGAAATCATGAATAATGAACTAAATTTAAATATTTTATCCTAAAAAACTGCCCATTCTATGTCGAACAACATGAAAATGTCATTTTTAAAAAACTGCTTGTATATTTTTCTTAAATTGGCAAGCTTGGCAACTACTATTTCGAATAAAAATAGCATCCAAGATTAAAGTTTTTTATTTTAATAGTGACTTTTTCATAAGTTTTGTTTACATTTTCTAGGACATTTTATTTCCTAATACCCTGCTATAGGAGTTTTCCTTCTTTTCAGGGTGGTCCAAGATTGAAGACTGTCGCAACCCTCTTAGATATACCAGCCCTGCCCTCTGCTAGCTATTTATTGTTTGAGAGGTCATTGGAATCCCGAATATGTGTTTAAAGTCTCATTTAAAACAAAATAAAACAAGGCTAAGATTGATTAGAGTCAAGTAATAATCTGCTAGGTTAGCTAGTGTATTTATGATATAACACTGTATGGTAAAAAATTACCCCTCATTTTTTTAATTAAATTTAATAAAATAGTATTATTGAAAATTAGATTACAGTTGTCTTATTCAAATGATGAAAGCTATAATAAATTGTGATTTGTACGATTGCACTTCTAACAGGTTAGCAAATCGGATCTACCGCAAATGGTTATAAAAAGTAAAATTAGCCAGATGTCTGTTAAATAAAAAGTAAATGTATATATAAGATTCTTTCGTTCGTCCCACTGGTGTAGAAACGAACTACACCAACGTACACTAAACCTTTCGTTTGGCCCGGTGTAAAATCCACTATACCTTCCTGTCGGCGATGTGGTGTCCACTGGTTGATATTTTCTCCACCAGCTATTTAGTAGGAGTGAATTACACTCAGCATGTGTATAAGGAATAAGGAGGGAATTAAACTTAGGTAAATAAGGTGGTGCAACTGATGTAATTTACACTGGTGGACACTGCACCAACAGCGAACGAAAGAACCTATAGTTAATGAAACGAACTTACCACAAAGGGCTGCATGAACATCAGTTTTCGTTTTAATAAGTTTATCATTGAGCAATCTTTCCTTTTCACTCCACTTTGAAAAAGTTTTTACTGTTGTGACTGCTGAGCACGATCTAGTCGCATCTTTCACATTCAAAAAGAATTCCTAAAAATCAGTTATAAATGTGAAAAATAGAAATTTATAAGGTTTTTACTTACATTAAATAATTTTTCATAGCTCAGAGCAATTTCCATAGTATTTTGACTGTAGTCCAACGTATCCCTCCAAGAATGAAGAAGAAAAGCAAATCTAAGTTGTCTAGAGGTATATTTTGACAGCGCATCTTGGATTGTAACGAAATTTTTTAAGGACTTGGACATTTTGCAACCGGCAATCGTTAAATGACCAGAATGAAGGAAGTATTTTACCCATTCGGGGCTTCCGAAATATGCCTTAAAATAAAAACATTTCTAATGAATATCCCTTATTTTTTCTACACCCACATGGACATTAGCTTATCTACACACAGAATACTGAACGATTATATTTTATATCCATTCTAGATAGTGAGAACACTGCAAAAAATGAAACCCACCAATCACAGTTCATATTTAGGACACCCAACTACTATTATTTTTAAAATATTAAATAAGTGACAATTCTGTCAAACTAATTGCCAGTATATTTTTTAGTTGAGATTAAATATTAGTTATTTTTGTGTAGAATCGATAAATAATAGCATTTTGAAGAAAAATCTAAATTTTAATCAAACTATATGAAACTAATTTAATAATAAGAATTAAAACTAAAATTCTAAAAGTAGTGGTAGAGGTGAGGACACAGATTCTGTCTTCAAAGCGAGAGGCCTGGGTTCGAATCTGGGCTGGGGACTAATATAAATTAAATCCTTTTTTTTTTCATTATTTAATTTTATAAATTAGTAAAAGTGAAAAATTATTTAAATATTAGTTATTTTGTCTTAATAACCTAAAATATTTTTTTTTAAATTTGTAGATTTTGTTTAGTGGGTCATAAAATAAATATACTGTACAACTCGAGTGGATTGTTCATATCCACTCTTGTTGCACAAACTACTATTAATATATAAAATATATGAATTTGATTTATGTGCATCCAAACCACCCGAAGAATATTTTTACTTATTTAGATGAATATTCTGTTGATTTTTATTTTAACGGCCTTTCAAAATATTTTCTCATTCTCTATAATTTTGATTGCAGAATCACTAGAAAATGAAGAAAGATATGAATCACATACCATTTTAATATAAAGCTATTACAGAGACTATTATATTTAAAAATTGTGAATTTAATAATACATAAAATCACAAATCGAAATCCAAAGTCAGAAATATCTGATAAGCAGCTGAATAATTTAAAAATTCAGAAACAAATTTCAAAAATTCCTCTATGAATTATTAAGACCATGCCCGAACCTCAAAGGTGAAAACAAATACTTGGAGATTTGAAAAAGCTTTTGTCATCACTGGGATTCGAACCCAGACATCCTTGTTCTCTAGACAAATGCCCTTTCCACTAGACCAGCAAGGACATTCGTAGACAGAAATTTGATGTGCTAGTTCAGGCCAGACGACGTTCAAGCTCGTTCTCAAATCTTCAAATACCTCTATAAACATTTAAGAGTAAACATTCGGCAATAGAAATAAACTCTCACAAATATAAGTACTCTTTTATTGACCTTTAAATAAAATCATGATTTTATTTTTTACAAATTCCGTTTCAATTCAGTTTATGATGAATTTATAATGTAAAAGTTGATGTATTTGCTGAAAAAGTCTTATGTTTGGCAACCAAGTGAACATGTAAGATCTAATTGCCAAATATCTTACTTGCCATATATATTAGAATTTGTCAGTCTCTCAAAGATCCTTATGAAACAAAAAGAGAGTTAGAGTACTAACTAAAGATTTTCAAAGATATGTGGTTTAAAAGTCCTGTAGATTTTAAAGGATGTTTTTCAGACTATACCTCTATATAATCTTTAAGTAGAATATTCTTTTGTCAAAATTTCAATCGGCTGTCAAATTACCCCATTAATTTGATGAACAATTTACCTCACTTTGTGCAATTTCATTATCATGATGAGGGAATTTTAGATCAACACCACCCGTGTGTATATCCAATGTTTCTCCAAAAATATCAGATGCCATTGCAGAGCATTCTATATGCCATCCTGGTCTACCAAAGCCCCAATCTGATTCCCAAAATGGTTCACCTGGTTTACTTTTCTTCCACAAGGCAAAGTCATTAGGAGAGCGTTTTTCACTTCTCTGTTCAGCAGTGGTTAAATCACCTAAATAATAACAATATAAAGTAATCATAATTATTACTGTATTAATATAAAAAAAGACACACCTTCTCCTTCTTGCAAACTGTTTGTATCACCATAAGCTTCAGGAACCAGTCTGGCATAATGATGTTTGTCACTTTTATCAAAAGATCCTACATCAAAATACACAGAACCATTTGCTTCATAAGCAAAACCATTGCTGATAATTTGTTTAATATAGTCTATAATTTCTGGAATGTATTCACTAACTCTTGTTACAACATTAGGCCTCAGTACCTAAAAATGTTTTATTAAAATTTAAGTTTTTAATACATTGTCTTAATGTATCAGATTCTAGTATCTCTCCAAAATATAAAAAAATCGAGGAGTACATGCAAGTCCACTGAACAAATAAGCCTATTAAGTATTTATACTTACATTTAATGCATCCATATCATTATAAAATGCGTCCTCCCAATATCTGGGCAGAGAAGTAAATATAGCATTATCAGTTACAGTTGAACCTAATCTTTGGTCCAGCCAATCTGATAAAGGATCTTTGCAGTCTTGAATAAATTGTTTTTTGCTATCATTTAGTTTGAGTGAATCCCCACTTTTAACTGCCAGTTCCAGTTGTTCAACAGATGTAATTAATCTGCAAACATATTAAAAAGTGAGGAAGAAGTCCATAGATTAGAAATAAAACCCACAATATCTGTCATCAAATGTTTATTAACCTTTGCCTTTGCACCTTTGCAAGAAACGATTTTATTTGGACTCATTGTTTGAGGGTTTGCTGCAGGAATCAATTATTTTTTATGTAAACAATGAGTTGGAATATAGTCATTTCCCACAATCAAAAACCAGTTGCTGTGTGATAACAAAAAAATCATTCTTATACTTGAGTAGAATACTGACAAGAAATATATAACTGACAAAAAAATAAGGAAAAATGTATTTAAAACCTATTATGGATTATGGAGTAGGGTATTAATAACATTTACTGAAACAGTTGAAAACAAAAATAATGTCCTCAATAATCTAGATGTTAAGATATTTATTATTCATTTAAACTAACCATATGGTTTAACCTAATGTGTATATTTTACCTTGATAATGTGTTCTCAAGCATTTGCTTTTTATCGGGGTCTGTAGTATTTTTAACTTTGGTGGATACATTGTCTAATACTTGCTTTGCATCTGATATTACAGTCTCTAGAGAAAGATTTTCTGAGGCATACTTATCAAATAAATAATTTTGTCTAGCCCGTTTTATAATTTTATCATCAATATCTGTTATATTCATTGCATAAAAAACATCATATCCAAAATAATTAGATAATATTCTTCTTAATATATCAAAAGTAATATAAGACCTGAAAACAACATAAATTTTTTAATTTAGTAAAACCTATCAAAATAAAAATTACCTCGCATGGCCCATATGAGAAGCATCATATACAGTAGGGCCGCAACTGTACCAGTTAATTCTCTTTGCAGACACGGGTGTAAATACTTCTTTTTGTCTTGTTAAACTATTGTAAACTTTTAATACAGGTTGATTTTCTGATTTCGGAGGACTCCAAGAAGGCTGCACTCGTTTTGACATTTTTTAAAACACTTTGGAAAGATTGACGACAAAAGGTGTATTACCTGGATATGATGAAATATCTGTATGGTGTTAGTAATAGGAAACGTGTCTAATTATATACAAATCTTTACATTGGTAATAATTTATGAATAGAAATTTTGAATACAAGATAAAGTCCTGGGTTTTCTGTTGAAAGCCGACGAGAAAAGGATAGAATCGGGCGTATTCGCTATATTTTATATTTCTCTTATCGAAGAGTCCACTAGTTTATACGAATTTTTATAGGTTAACTCATTTTTATTTACACGTGTAATAAAAGTCAGTTTGACGTTTCTGTCAATTTAATCTAACCTATTTATTCTTCTTTTAAAAAATGTATTGTCATTTGTACCATTATTCTTTTTGCAGTGGCCTTTTCCTTAGTTATCTATTATCGATCATAAAGCCTTTTCGATTGATCTAACCATGATTTATTTTAAATTATCCAATTTAGCAGAACATACTAGCGTCTACACATACCAATTTGCACTTTGGCTGCCTGACTTCCGCATGCGCAGTTTCTGTTGTCATTTGTCATTGCGATTTAATTTTGAATTTCAACCTAACCTATTATTTTTTATCATTATTTAGTTATTTTTATTTTATCATACAAATTAGGATACTAGTTGAAGTATATTGTTTTTTATCAATTGAAGGGTTTATTGTAAAAACGTAATAAGCCACACTTTTAAAAATAAAGGCATTTTTACTTTACAAGAGCTTGAATAAAATGCAAATTCTCTAATACCATAATTAGACGAAAAATAAAGTTATTGAATTTTAACAAAGTTGTAGTAGTTATAGAAGTTTATTTTAACCTTTGAAGAAATGTTTGTCCTTAATAAATTAATGTTATTCCAATAAGCCCTTTAATTGTAAACAGGAAAAAATTACAGGGTGCATCGATTTTTTAGGAGGACAGAATGATTGTACTTATTACAAAAACAAAATTTGAGTGGTAGTAATATTTATTATTATAGAACAAAAACAAAAATTTTATATATTTCTAGGGATATAAAAGATTTTGTGCAATTTTATTGGTTTCTTCCACGTCTGGTTTTAAAAATCCTTTATTTTTTTTTACATTTGATTTTTTTGTTTTATATAGACGCCTCTGTGGTGTAATGTTTTTGTTATGTGGTATATTACTAGTACTTTGAGCTGAAGAACAGATAGTCTGATTTGCAATAACAGCAAGAGTTGGACGTGCAGGGGCCATTAATTTTTTAAATGCTTCCAATTGCTCATGTGATGTAATAGTGCCAACAATTTCATTCAATTCAAAAAGTATCTTCTGTTTTTTCAACTCAAGTGAACCTGGATCTTCCTTTTTCTTTCCATCAATTAAGGATTCAAGCAGTTTTCGTTCTTCATCATTTATATCATCTTCGATCATTAATACATTATTTTCTAAAAACAATAAACTCAAATGAAGAATGCAATCTTTTTATGTAGGTAGAAGTTTTAGAAATCAAATCATCTATTTGCCATCACCATTTTAAAGATACATTATTAAAGATTTAAAAGAAATTAATAAGCACCAAAGTACTTCATGTATTTTTATGTAACCAAAACTAATTAAAAAGATCCAAAACCAAAATAAAAAGCACAGAATATAAAAGTCATAAACACTAGACCAAAACAATTACCACACCTATGTAAATTAAACATTATACCTTTATGGCAGGTCCTAGTGCTGTAATAAGATATAATTTGGTCATTTAAGTTGCACAATATAATATGAATAGTATAATAAGATGGTTTATTTAAATAAAAATATTACTACCAATTTACCTGATTCTTGAAATACAGAGACATCTACTCCATCTTTTTTAAGCTGTTCATTTAAGAATCTGCAAATCAGGTGAATGTGCTTGCACATATTCCATTTTATACTTGATTCCAGACATGTGCAAGCATAACGGTGCAGACATACTTGACAATCAGTGCATACTAATTTACATCTGCAAAGTGGTTGCTTTTCTTCAACAGTGTAAATCTCAGTTGATGATGAAGATGATTGCACCTGCCATCCCATATCACTTTGCACCACAGATGTTACATCTAGATTTAAGCTGGCCTTATGTCTAGCACGTATATTTTTAATTTTTGTGGAAATCTTGCCTTTATTGATGACAATTATCCTTTCAAATAATTGATCGCGTACAAATTTCATTAAAATATGTATAGCCTTGTCCAATCTTTTCACTACTTTTCCATTTAAATAAATATACTTTAAAGTTTTATGCATACGTTCTACATGCATGTTGGTATTTATGCCACAATGTAAACGGTAGCAATATGCCCATTCCTTAGTATTATTGGAATAATATTCTTGGAAATATAGCCCAAATTCAAATGTATCACTATTAGCTAGTAAGGATGTTACAAAATTATTGCACATTGGAACAAAACAATTTATATCTGTTTCCTGAAGTAATGTTCGCAGTTGTTTATACACTTCATCCTAAAATGAAATCATACAGTTAGTAGTGGTTATATTGGTTAGTTTTTTTTATTTCAGAATGCCTATTTCTATTATAAATAAGCAGTTCAATTTATTAAGTACCTACCTGTTTATCTTTGGATTTTAACTTGTTCAAATTTTTACGCCAAGCCCGTATCACATGCCAAGAACAAAATAATCTACAACAGACATTAAAATTTGTAAAAATTAAAAAAAAAATGAATCTATAAACTACCTAAATTTTACAGCACCCATTGTGTGTATCCAGGCATTGTAAAATGATTGAGCCATATCAGACATAAATATCTCTGACTGTAAATTTCTGCCTAACTTATGTTTTATACAGGAAAAGAAAATATTCATCAAATATTCATCAGTTCTATTTGAAATACAAAATGCACATGGAAATCCTTCTCGCATATCATCCAGGATAAGTAATGTTATTAGTTCAAAGTTATATGCATTCAGGCCATGTGTTCCATCTATACATATGCAGTCACTGCCATATTTTTCAAGCATTTCTGTTTGACCTTTGTTCATTATAATTAAAACAAAATCTTCCTTTTTTAATTCCAAATATTCTTCAGACTGTGTGTCCTGAGCTTTATAAAATAACACACAGCCCGTGTTTTTAACCTGTTCAATCCATGCTTCTACACTTATAGCATCTTTCGCATGTCTAACAGACTCTTTATTTAAATTAAAGTACTGCTCGATATTGAATAAATCTTTTTTTGTAACCAGATGTAATCTATCAAGTTGATCTTCAGTGACAGATTCTCTTACTTCATCAAGAATGGTCTCAAAGGGAATTTTTAAGGAAATTTTAGCAGCTAAAGCTTCTCTCTCAGTTTTACTCAAATTTAAATGTCCTAAATTATTAGTATGACCAACATGCTGCGAGACAAATTCTACTTCACATTCTCCAGTATTTAATATATTTACAGTTATTTTGGCAGGACAAAAGCCATTTATTTTATTACTGCCTCCTATTTTTAAATGCCGTATACCCTTTCCTTCAGTCTTAAAAACACCAGACCGATGGCATACATATTTTATTTTTTTATAATTTTGTGTACTATATGAACCATGTTCATTAATAAACGAGGAATGAGTTTCTCTTTCTATTTGAAGCTTCCAATTATAAAAATCCTCTTTTTGAGAAAACTTTAAAATATTTGAATTTATTGATATGTTATGAACTGCTTCAAAATGACTCCGTATTTCTGATTCTGTCAAATGTTTAGTATTGCATAAACAGCATTTATATTGTTGGTTCTTTGAATTAGCAGTTTCTTCATGAATATTTTTATATCTTACAATATTGCTTTGAGAATTAATTTTGGTTTTCATTAATTCACCTTCCTTATCTACAAAAAAAAAACCATTATAAAATCTCTAGTTCATCATTAATTTACAAACAAAAATGCTCAAACTCAGAAACATTCAAGATTTAAAATTACCAGGGTGAAATCTTCTGACATGTTGCTTTAAATTGGAATGTTTAGAGAAGGTTTTGCCACAGGTGTTACAAATAGCAACAATTGCATACTTTTTATTTGGAGCAATTTCATCTACCTTATCTAAAACAAATGTTAAAACAATTTTTATAAAATCTTATTTAACTATACTTAAGTAACTATTAACAACTTACCTGGATGAAATTTTTTTGCATGCATTCGCAAATTACAATTCTTTGTAAATAATTTGTTGCACAGTGTACATTTTAAAGGCATTATGTTTAAACCTTCAGATAGCTACCTTATTTTGTAATAATAAGAAATATATTTTTAGAGGTTACGTTGAAATTCGAAATAATCACACTGACAAGTGACAGTATTATCTATGCGCATGCGGAAGTCAGGCAGCCAAAGTGAAATTGGTATGTCTAGACGCTAGTGCAGAACATGGGGTCTATTCTGTAACAATTCCTTTATATTTTAACGGCCGTTAAAATATTGGCTGCCTTTAAAAATACTGGGTCTTCAACAATACCGAAAACCCACGTGACCAAATCGTCATGACAGCGATTGGTGAAAATAAAAGTAAAAATCCCTAGATGTGAGCCAGTGCCGTAGGTATTTTATTACAAAATAGATCTTCTTTTTTATGGTCTGCAACTACGAGAACAAAATTCAGTTAGGTAACTGTTAGAATTACAACACAAAATCATAATATTAATTAGAGGTGTTTTACATTATTGTATTTTAATGTTAGAATTCGATATTTTAATTACATTTAGTCAAATGCAATAATCTTATTTTTAAAATTACGATATAATTAATATAACCTTAAAAACTGAGCTATTTATATTTAACGAAAAGAATAATAAACTGAAATATGGTTCGTACTAGTTATTACAAAAACAACCTTTACCCGAACAGGGTGCAACAAAGTTATGAACATAAAATATTATGAATTAAGATATGAATAAAATTAAAAATTATTTACTTTAGATCGACTCGTAAATAAGATATTTAGCTACAGCTGAAACTTTAAAAAATTTAAAACTTTCTGGAATTGTACCTGGGCAATGGGAAGTAATAAACAAATAATTTTTTAAGTTTGTTCTATTATTTATTTGTTACAGGGTTTAAACCATTTACGAAATACTTTATGTTACTAATATGTACCTATACAAAACAATATTAATATTATTAATGTAACGAGAACATATTTGTTTTACCTTACAGCTCTCACTTTAAATTATAAAGGCAGACCAACTATTTTATTTAAAAGGATATTGAGTAGTAATCGGTGGTGCACAAACTATACTAATTCACAGTACCTATCTGTTCAAAATCTTTACCACCAGCTTTAATACAAGCATTAATCGTTCTTTTTTTGAACACATTATGCAGTTTCTTCTCAGTTATATTGCGTATTTCATTTAATATAGGTGCTCCAGTTTATAAACGTCACATAAACGATTTTGAATTGAGCGATCAGTAATATTCCATAGATAGGTTTAACAAAATTAAGGTAAAATGATTGTTGCAGTATCGAAACTTTATAGGGGATGCATTATCAGAAATGTTTTCAATACTTTATGGCTAGTTCGTAGCGACAAACCTAAAAATTGTGTTTTGAATTTTACTCGCCAGTCAGTCTTTAAAACACCGTTCATACCTGTTTGAGGTGCTGTTTTTTTTACTAATTTATTGGGAATTTGCACCATGTTAATTTGCACATCTTCAACAGCTTTTGTTATTACTGTGGGCCTTTCAGAGCTTTTTCCTTTTTTATAATTTTGAACAAGTATTTGTTAATGACGACAAAAAAGAATCACATTCCATTTATTCACCTAGAAAATGTTCCTCAAATTTTCGAATACAATAACGAATATAAAATAATTTTGTTTCTGTGTAACATTACCTGAAATAAATTATATACAGTCATTAACTTTTACGAGTTACAGTAAATAAATTTGTACTTACCAACAAAAAAGGATTAAGCCACCAATAATCTCTATAGAAAAACTAATTGCTTTATTAATATTAAATGAAAAATGGAATAAAGGTATTTATAAAATGTAAACAAATGAACGCCAGTGACATTTCTGACAGTTCAGTTTAGTTACTTTTACGTCAAATCAGGCCCTTTCGATGGGTTTTTAATGGTTATCAGATCACGTGGGTTTCGGGTAGTTGAAGACCTGGTACTTCTTTTTTATAATAGTTCTCTAATGTATTTTAAAGGAATCCGTTTAAATAATGACAGAAGTAATTTAGTAAATACGGAAATATTTTTAAAGGCCTCCAATATTTTAACGGCCGTTAAAATATAAAGGAATTGTTACAGAATATAACCCCATAGACCTGTTTAAAGAGCATAAATAAGAGGTAAAATAAAACCTACTTGAATTAAAATTCAATTGTTTGAAAAATAAAACAATAGTAGTTTCAACATTTTATTATTACAAGTTATGAAAACTTAAAAACACATTATTGTTGGTTCAAAAGTTCTAATTGGGCGGCAGCAACACTCTTCATGCCTTCTTGGACAGTGCTCAGATTGTCCCTCCAAGAGTGGAGCAAATCACGCAACTGTTGCCACTGTGCTCGTCCGAAAGTTCTATGCATTGTGCTGGACACAAATACTTTTCGTCCAGATTGGTCCATTCTGGCACGAACTAACTTTGTCTTTAAGACTAAAAATAAAATAAGGAGATATTATCACTGGTTCTAGAATATAAATAAAATAATATCTACTTATTTAAAAATGTAAAATCTTTGTATACCTTCAATAATAAAACTCTCAACTTCGTCAGGGTTTATTTGAAGTTCCTTTTCAATGATATCAAATGAGATTTCCGGATTACTTTCAGCTAGCTGCATGAAAGAAAGTAATCTCATTTTCTGCAAATTCTGCTCATGATTTAACCCTAGTAAAAATAAAATCAATCATAAAATACATCTAAAATAGCCTTTATATAAAATGTTCTCTATTTCTTTGTTGTTTCATTCAGTTTATCAATATATAAGAAACATTAAATTTCCATAACCCATTATTTAAGTGTTACCTTGTGCCTTCACAAACTCCTGGTGTTCCTTATAAAATTTGAGGTAGGCAGTCAAGTTTTCACTAACAAAAATGTTCAACAAATCATGTATTAGTTCTCCTTCCAATGATCTGACAGGCTTCAAAGACAATAAAGGATCCAACAGAAAAGTATTTGGATCTGCCAAGGCTGTTGCAATACAACGAATTGCATCTTCACGTGCTAGCGAAGCATTTTTATCAGTATATGTTTTGAGTAGTTCAATCATGACTAAAGCAGCTTGTTCACTAAAAATTAAAAATGTTAATTTAACACAATTATTTAATATAAACCACCTGTAGATAAGTACCTGTTATTAGCCTTAACTAAAACTTCATGTAACAATCTATAAAGTTTTTGTAGCTGTTCATTGGATGGAGGACAATTAGAAAATTGTTGTTTTAAGTGATCAATATCTTGAAAAACATACTTCACAGAATCTGTTTGTTTGGCAATTTGAATTAGATGGTAATAAACAGGATAACGCATTGGAGAAAGGTCATCAAGGCTCTGGAAGAGCAACCACAAACTGCAAAAAAAAACATGTAAAAACTTCTGTTGCATATATATTATAAAGTTAACTTACGCTCTGAGACAAACTAAGCCCAATTTTTGACCTTGTGCTTTCGTCAATTTTTCACAAAAAGCTAAAATAATGTTTTCAGACCTATCTAATGGAATCTAAAAGCAAATATAAAATTAAATATCCAATAAAAATATTGAAACATTTACTTACCAATACCATTATGGATACTATATCATTCAGAACCATTTCTACATCATTTTCTTGTCCTTCTTTAAAACACGCGTCACATACTCCGATTATCTTGTGTAAATCATCTTCTATACCTTTCGGCGACTTCTCTTCTGAAATTTCAGCTCCAAGACTCTTCAAATAAACTCGAAGTTCTTGGGCCTGTAACGAATATAACCTCAAAATCTAATATCATCCTGAAACTTTTATATAACAAGTAGGAATTTGAAATAATACTTACTTGATCCTCTAGGGACATATCAATAAATACTGGAGGTACTTGCATACTTGCTAGTATTTAAAAAACTTAAAATATGGAACTAATATAACAGCCACACGGGCTACAATCAAAAAGAATCAATCTAATGAAGTGAGACATAATTTGTCAATGTCAATATGTCAAAAATTATTCTATATCTGTCAATTTCAAGTCATCGTTGTGCCTCTAACTATATACGTTACGTACCACGTACCACAGGCGAGTTCGGATAGTCAGGGGCTGGAGCGGGACAAATTTTAGGGTGCTTTTAAATGACATTTAAGCGTGTTAAACTGTCACTAATCGGACTAAACCGAACGCTAAAAGAGTCGTTTGGAGTTAAAAGTGTTAATGGAGTTAAAGGAACGTGGCAAACCGAACGCAATGCACTAGGGTTTGTTTTTGTTTTAAATGTACTTTTTGCTGTTTGAATCCTCTTGCTTTTTGCTTAATCGAAAATATGTCGAAAATTTAATTATTATTTAAATTGTCTACAAGGATATTTGGGCAAAAATAATATTAATTGCAATACCGGTTGATTTTTGGTTAGGTTCCTAAATCGAAATCACCTTTGGAATTGCGTTTCGGCAACTTGAATTTTCATGATTTCGTGGTTTACGGACTCGAACGATTTAAGAACCAAATTTCTTGTTTCTTTGTTCGAAAATTAAACTTTTTTACTATATTCATGAAAAAAATAAATGTCAATCTATAATAAAAAGCTGTTCAGTGATAGTAAGAGGTGTTCAAAGTGATTTTTAGTAGTATCAAACATTAAAATTATTCAAAATACCTATATCATTTAAATTATTTTACACTGTCACTATTTTGTACATACAACAATCAGCTGTATCTGTATACCAGTATTTATTATTATAATTCAAATAGAAGCGATCTAATTTTGTTATTAATATTTGTTGTATTGTTGATTTAATATTAAACATAGTCTTTCAAAATGTTTAGCTGCCTTTGCCTTAATATTCTTATTGAAACTGCTTCTACAGACTTCCAAAAGGTGACTCCAGAATCATTGAATTTAAATGAGACTGAGAAGAAAGATGCATTTTTCCAACAAGTAAGACAATTTTCAGTAATTTTACTGCAAGCAATTTCTTAACAATGTATGATTGTGCACATCCTTTTAGTATAGAACTGCATTAATAGTTGTGATATTTGCGTAAACTTTATAGTATGTATGTTTTAGGATCTTCTACAAATTTCAAAACTAAAAAATATCACAAAAAATCAACCAAACTTAGTGCATTCTAGAATTGTGGGAAATTGGAATGTGAACTGTTGTATTAATTGTATAAAAGAAACGTATGCTGTACATAAAGACAAAGGGGCATCTTGTGTTGTAATTTCTTCAAAATTATTGGTAAGTTTCAAATAAAGAAAGTCTCATCTAATTCAAATTTATACAAAAAACCCGTGATTTGACTAATAATCTGTTTTTAGGATTCTAAGTCAGTAGAGAGAATTAGGGCTGAACAAGTAGAATTGTCGAAAGTTTTTAATATTATTGTAAATCCAAGTGATACTAGGGAGAACATACAAGTTTTAAATTTATGTAAGTGGACAAAGTTACTATCTGTTTAATTAAAATAGAAATTGCTTGAGATAAAACAAATTTAACCATTCTAAATAATGTTAGATAAAATTTTGAAAGGTACTTGACCATTAAATTGTGTTTGTAATAAAAAATAATCATTTATTCAAGTTAAATAAATCACCTTTAACAAAACAAAACATTTTTTCATCTTGTTTTTTTAATTCTGATAAAAGTTTAAGAAACATTTTAAAATAAAAAGCATACTTTCAATCAGCAGAAACAAAAAATCTCCATTTTATTACCATTTTATTTTCTTTATTTCAAGGTTGATAATACTGTTTTATTTAAATTTTATTGAAATGTACATTTGTCAATAATACATTTCCATAAATGTTTAAATTGTTATAACACAATTTACGTAAATATTGCAAAGAAAAATATATTTGGGTACAGTTGGTAATTATTTAAAAAAGCAAGGATAAACCTTTTGTTTATTGAAAAATGTATAAATATATCAGAGCCTGTAATACCAATAAATTTTTATACACATTTTCTGTTAAAAAAAAATATAGGTACTTCAACATAAAACAGTTTACATCTTTATGGAAACTTACTAACAAAAATGTACATAATATATACAGGATGATAGTTTAAAAACTTCAATAGCTATACCTGATAAACTAAAGATGATAGGTATTAGACAACTAAAACATAATCAAAAAAACAATTTACTTAGATAAAATCTTCGTTTTAAATAGGTTTCTAATTGTTATATACTATTGAACCACCATGTATAGGGTGTAACTTATATTGTTGTAAAGTATTTTTTACTAGTTTTCTAATGATGACAGGGGGTTGCTATGTTCTTTTGTGGAAGTAAATTAGGTGGCGCATAAGGGGTTGATGGAGATGAGTTCTCTATTTTGTCATTTAAGTTTCTCCTTTGTATTCTAGAAACAGTTTTAAGCATATTCCGATATCATTTTTTGTTTATGAGATATAATCATTTACATTTTTAAATTGTCAGCCCTATATACATAGAAAAACGTGGTAAGTGGCAAGTTATAAACAAAATTCAAATCTAATAGTAATTAATTAAGAAAAAAATGACGTAACACTAGATTATTAGCACCAAATTTTGTTTACCAAGTTTACAAAATGTTTATTAACAACTAGAATGAATATATAAAATGCTTGGCGTTCTATACTATACTCTTCACAGTTTAACAGACCCCCTTAACCTAAATTTTCAATCAAATTTTCTTCGAAATCAGTAGGCTTCATCTCCTTATAAAACTTGATTTTTCCTGACACGATTTATTTTTGAAATTATTTTTTGTTTGTGGGTCAGGATTTTTTTCAATATTTCAACCTTTGACTATCTCCCTATTTTTATTTATGAATTTTCTTATAGAGCTTGATTTTTACTACTAAACATTTCAGGTTGATATTGCTTTTAATTTTTGATGTCTATGGTTTTTAATTTCAACCCCCCTTGACCCCTATTTAATTCAGATTTTTATAGGGCATGCTTTTGCCAAAAATTTCAAGTTTATATTATTGATCGTTTTTGAGTATTTTGAGGATTTTTTTTTTATTTATTTAAATGCCCCTTAACCCCTCCATTTTTATTCAGATTTTTTCAAAATTAACAGACTTCTCCTTATAGAGCTTGATTTTTGCTAAAAAAAAATTTAGTTGATATAATTTTTTGTTTTTGAGTTAGGATTTTGTTTTAATATTTTCCAATTTATTTAGATTTTTTTCAGAATCAATAGGCTTAATCTTCTTATGAATTTTACTAAATATTTCATGTTGATATTGCTTTTTATTTTTGATTAATTTTTTTATTTAATTTCAACCCTCCTTAACCCATTTCTAACTAGATTTTTTTCCAAAATCAATGAACTTTGTTGTCTCCTTATAGAGCTTGATTTTTTCTAAAAATTTCAAGTTGATATTATTTTTATTAACACGCTTTTATTAGCTTCACCAGTATGTATGTTTGTAACTCTTCTTTGGACTAAAAGCAAGTGGCTTATTACTGTCAGTATATCCCACTACCTCAAGTTGGTTCGTTGGCCGAGCGGTCTAAGGCACTGGTCTTCGATCGCCAGACTCACCAATCGTGGGTTTTAATCCCGTCCACGGCTGAAAAAAAAATTGTTTTTTTTTCAGCAATTTTTTTAATAATTAATCGAACTAAAAAGTAAAAAATAAATATAGTTTAAAAAACTAAAAAACACGCTTTTATAATACATCGAACTAAAAAGTGAAAAATAAATATAGTTTAAAAAAACTAAAAAACGCTTTTAGAGCATATCAAACTAAAAAGTTAAAAATAATTTTTCAAATAAGCTTAAAACAATAATAAATGGAAAATACTAGTATTATTGTGAAAAAAGCCTGGGGCGCTTTGTCCATATTTCTCATACATCAAGCGCCCGACGCTTTTTTTACAATAATACTAGTATTTTCCATTTATTATTGTTTTAAGCTTATTTGAAAAATTATTTTTAACTTTTTAGTTTGATATGCTCTAAAAGCGTGTTTTTTTAGTTTTTTTAAACTATATTTATTCATTTTTGAGTTTTTCAAAACCAATAGGACGGAATTAAATGTGTAATACTCTTCACTCTGTTTGAAGGGTATAATAATAGACCTATTAAAGTTAATAGCTCTAATAGATTTAATTTTTTCTTGTACAGTGTTGTTGATGCCACAAACAAATAAGAATTTCTATAAATTGACAACCAATTTTTTTAAACTTGTGTAAATTTGAAAAAAAAATCATATTTACTTATAGATAAAAACTGTGACACTGAGACTATCATCAAAGCTATTAGGGAGACTGTGTCTGAATGTTTAAGGAAAGAAATGGTTGCTGTGGAGGATAGGATAAAGAAATATTCGGAAGAACAATATGAGATTTTAAACAGTCTCAAAGATACAGCCTATGAAGAGCATGATACGTTAGTTATGTAAGTATATCATTGTTCAATGTATATTTTCCTGACCAAAATAAATGTTTATCACAAAACAGTTTATTTTTTTTTATACTTAAAATAAGGAAATCCCCATACCACCACCCTGTCTCCCCTTAGCATATCCAGTTGCGCCACTCAGGTGTTGTTCCTTCTTCATTTGACTAAAATACATTTTTATCCCATACCCAGTGGCGTCACTCAGGTGCGGTTTCCTTAATTTGCTTACTGTTTCATTTGTGCAATACTTTTAATTTGTAAAAACATATTACAAACCTAAAGGGTAAAACATTTGAAAACAAAGGTGGGTGTCATCAATTCTTGTCCTCATGTAGAAAAAATAAACTTTATAGAATAAATTGTATCTCATTACGAATGGGAAGATTCTCTGCTTAAAAATAAGACGCTTAAACGAAACATAAAATATTACTGATTTCCGAAATACAGGGTGTTAAAGTTGAAAATTCAAAAATTATTTGTCTATAATTTTTTATTTCTAAGTATAATTTTACTTAATTCGGTAAACATTTTTGGTGTTATAAGATACACTTATCAGTAAAACGATCAAATAACTTTTGCCGGTGGTGTATAGCATGGATAAGAAACACCTTCTTCCCCTCTAAATTTTATTTTGGACTATACTTTTACATTTTTATCTATTTTTTTCAATAAATAGGCACTTATGTTGGGAACTCAAAGTTTTCGAGAAAGTCGCACTCAAATGTGGATATTCTTCATTTTATTTTTGTAATTTTGGATTTTATTTTTAAATTATACTAAGCAAAAGTTTTGAGTCATAAGATACACATATCAAAAAAAAAAAAAAAAAAGTTAAGAAACTTTACCAATCTTATTTGGACTATATTTTTGATTTTTTGATGTTTTTTTAAATAACTCATGTGCTCTTGTTAAGAATTTATAAAAAAATCCAAAATTAAAATGAAGAATATCTACCTTTGACTGTGAATATTTCGAAAACGAAACACTATGAGTTCTCAACAAGAGTACATGATTTATTTAAAAAATATCGAACAAATTAAAATTATATAGTCTAAATAAGTTTTTGAACAGTAAAATTTAGAGGGGATGAAAGTATTACATATCCATGTCGTACGCCACTGACAAAGTTTATTGAACTTATTTTTTCGCTGATAGGTATATCTTATGTCATAAAAAATGATTGTCGAATTTAGTAAAATTATAATGAGTAATAAAAAAATTATAGCCAATAATAATTATTGAATTTTCAACTTTAACACCTCATATTTCGGAAATCTTCGTTTGTTGTGTGTCCCATTTGTAATGAGACCCTGTATAATTAATTTTTTAGTATAATTTCCCATCATTTGTAGTGATTTTGTGTGAAAAAGTACCTGTAATTCGGGTATGGTTGCCACCTGTCATTTTGTCAAACAAATTGTCCTCGTGAATTTTTAAAGCTTAAAATAACCTTTTTTACAGTACATGTCCTTTAAAAGGACCTGGTTTTTATGAAAATATAAGCCAAGAACCTTATTTTTTTAAAAGCTTGGCAGAAGGACCAGTTGTTTATTAAAATAACTGATAAGGACTTTTTGTTTTTGTTAGAAGCTCGTCCAAAATATTTTAAGGGGGTCCCTGTTATTCATTTTTCAAAAAGGTCGCAACCCTAATTTCTGGAGTGGTTGACCTTTCGTTTAATCGCTTTATTACATCAATCAATAATTCTATCCCCTTGTAAAATATTCTAAAGTGTTTCCCTCAAAATATTCTATTACAGTTGCTTTCAACTCACTAGCGTCCTTAAAACGACGTCCAAAAGATTATTTTTAATTGGAAAATAAATAATCACTAAGCACCATGTCTGGGCTATACGGTGGATGTTCCAATTCTTGAAAGCCTCATTCGCAGATGGCAGCTTGTGAAGTGGCCACATATGTACGGGTGCATTGTCGTGGAGTAATTGAAAACCTTCTGTCAATTTTCCAGGACTTTTTGCATGAAATATATGGAATAGGTATAATATATGCTCTTTAATCTTGGTTGATTTTTTTTTGATGCATTATCACTTCAATTGGTCGACCAGAGCGCTCATTATTTTTTGACAGACTTCAAAAAAGGAGGAGATTCTCAATTCGTCGTAATATATTTTTTTTATGTATGTTCGCCCATAATTCTTTAACACGGTGTACGATTTCAATGATTCTTTTTTTGTTAGAAAGAGGGTACTTCAGGAGTGATCCCATATTAATTTGGTCAAAATCTAATAATTGTGTCCATCAGAAAATCCTCAAACTCTTCATTTGTTATGTATGTTTAGTGGTAATTCTTTACAACCTTGTCCGTTTTCTATGATTCTTTTTTTGTTAGTAAAGGGGTAACTCAGTGGTGGTCCCCTATAAATTTGGTCAAGATGTGGTGATGGCATCTCCACGATTTTGAGTGTTTTTAAAAATTACTTTTATAACTTGGTAAGGGATTCTTACCTTTGTTTCTACATTTTTACAGTGCACTATGAAGGCGATAATTCACTATAAACCCTGTCTAAATGTTGTTTAATTTAATAAGGCATATTTTCATGTTTTGTTAAAAATTTAATAACTTGAAAGATACTCAATTTTCCTTACCCGAGACATTTTCATTAACCAGTCATGTTGTTTGGCTGGCTATTATAAACCACTACTCTTCGAACCCTCATATATGTACTGTAGGCTTAGCACATGCAACTATGACGCAACGGAGTTTTTTTTTTAATTTATGGCTTTGGCATTGCCAATTAGCCAGGCAACGTAGTTTGAACACGTTTAAACCTGTATAAACCTTTCAGATCGAAAATTTCTGACGCCTACCTCTTATATACCTAATATAATGATCAATTTGCATGATTCTAAAGATGTGTTCTACAAATTCTTAAACTACACTACACTGATGCTTTCATACACCCATTGTGCACCCTACATGGAAAAAATACTTGTCTTATGATTATGTCATGCTATTGTACCACTTGTCTTTGTAACTATAAAAATAATTTCAATATAACGCCTTTTATTCCTTATCTTGTTGGTTATCCATTCATTGAGTTATAAATAATGTAGGTTAAAAATAAATACAAATTTATTGTTTTGTTTTTACAACATTCATAAAATGGAAATTGTTTACAAGAGAAAGAGTTAGGTACATTTATGTTATCTTGCTTGGTGTAATTATAGAATGTTTTATTTGTGTTGCTGCTTTAAAAATTATTTTATTTCTTATTCTGTTCCATAATGTCTGTTTGTTGAGTGCTTCATTTGAAAAACTTGTTAGTACTCATTTTGTTTTCTTGATGTTTTGTTTTTAACTGAAGTTACAAAGTCAAAAGTCTATAAAAAAGATTTCTACTAGTGTGCTTGTATTATTTTTAAGACAATACCTATTTACAGTTTTGCTTAAAACTGTTAGATAAACCAACTAAATATATTTTCAAATATTTTAATTTAAAAGTAAGCAACTATTTTAAATTAGTATTATTTTGTTCTCTTTATTATCAATTTTTTTTGCGTTGGTGATACATTTTTTTAATAGTCCATAATGAAAAGATTAATTTTTGATACTATTGCACTCTCCACATTATAAATATTATGTTTGAATTTAAATCACAATAACAAAACGCAGGTTAAACAACTTGTTATCAAGTGTTACTATCAAGGAAACGTTTTTATCTTTGAAAACTTAAATTCGAATCTATTTTTATAGGCTAGTCCAGAGTTTATCAGATCAATCTAAACCTGAAAGTACAAGTGACCAAATGGGTTCCACGGAAGCCGAAGAAGACCTTACTAAATATTTTAATTTAAGTGAAGAGGCGTTGTTAAGATCCACTGAAAAACCGAAACAGGTTTGTTTTAAAATATTTATTTAACCCTATAATGTTTATATTTGCTTCTTATTTAGTTGGCAAAATGTTCTAATTGTTCTGTTTACAGTTCTTGTTATTTTGTATTTATTAGATGAGGCATACACCTAAGCGCCAGAGGAGTACACCGGTAGCTCCAGTGTCATCTTTCGATACTGAGGGTCTGTTCGACTTTGAAGGAAGCGATGGGATAAATTCCCTTTCAGAAAGCGATGTAGGAGAGAGTGACAGAGATGGTTAGTTAAAAAAAAATATATTTATTTTTGTTTTGAATATAATATTTTTTTAGATAAGGATGAGAGAGCAGTTAATATGCCTAGAACTAGGTCGTCGAAAGGAAACATAGCAAAATCTTTACCTATGGATATTCCCACGTTTTTATCAAAGGCTAGAAATACGTCTACTGAAGATTTAGATGATATTGTAAGTTACCCTTTTGTTTATTTTTTTGATTTGAAATACAGTACAAATTCAGTGGGTTATTGAAATATATGTAGATATTAAAACGTAATAATATTTAAGCTCTTTTAGATTGTAAAAAAAATATTTTAAAAAATAATTAAATTTTTAAATTAGGCATGCGCCAATGAAATTGGCATAGGTCATCTCCAAAATATGAGTCACTTCAGGCCATCAACCCCAAATATATGCATTCAGAATATAGCCAATATCATAATTCATTTTTGGCGCCAACAAGCAGCTCTTTGCGGCACTAGTGAGCATGTTATTGGTGTTAATACACTGCGACCTAAAAGATCTATTGTGCCCCCTTCTGTCGCCACTGCACTAAGGAAATGTCTCAATGCCTATAACGACCCTTCCAATCCTATTTTCTCAAGGAAGTGCAGGATTTGAAGTGTCTTCAAGTTAGGTAAATCTCCCTCTTCTATTTGATATCCTCCTAGATATAGTGCCCTTGGATTCTGGAGTGCTACACGTTCAGTTAGGATGTGAATGGATGTTTCGTCCTCCTCCTCACTATCCTCTACTACTCTCAGTTTACTTAGGTGTCCTTTTAGTCCGCAATGCCCGGTAAGGATCCCTGTTACAATAGGTCCTACAAAGGCTGTTTGAGCCCATTTCCTAGCAAGACTATCTGCAATCTTGTTACCCTGTACCCCGTTATGTCCTGGGACCCAAGTGAGACTAACTCTATTTTTCTCGCCTAGCTCATTCAATTGTTCTAGGCATCTCCAGACCATTTTTGAGCTTCTTGGCTCTATTCTTTCTTGCAGCCCAGCTCTGTGGTTTTGAAGTTTTTCACAAAACTGTACTTCTTTAGCATTTCATTCTGGGACATGTCCCAGGTATCTTTAGTCCTGAAGCAAGTAGACTTTCGTCTGATTACTCCGTTCCTGATCATTCTATATCGTATCCTTTTTGCCACATTCTCTATCATCAAATGTAGAGGGGTGAGGTTTAAGATCACCTCCATTGATGCCGTAAGACAGGTTCTCATTGCACCAGTAATGCAAACACAGGCTAGTCTTTGTACTTTGGAGATATTAGCTCTCGTAGTAGCTAAACTAGTTCGGTTACTCCCGGCTATAGCCCCGTAAGTGATGATTGGTCTCACTATTGCAGTATACATCCATCATAGTATGTTTGGGTTACATTCCCATCGTTTACCTGCAATGTTTCTGCATACCATTAATGCTTTTGTGACCTTATTTACTACTTCCTTCTCAATTGTGTGTCCAGAGAAGTTTGTTGTCCAGGGTTAGGCCTGGATATTTGACTATATATTTGACACTAGTGAGCATGCTAATTGAGTCGTTTTCAGACGATGCCGGATTAATTTCCATTGTTGAATTTATTTTTTAATTAATTTTGATTTTCACAAACATATTCAGCACTGGTCCCACAGATAATTTTAATCAGTCTTAAAATAGGTATATAAAGAAATTTAATAGTTAATTAATGACCTAGTCAGTGTATTAATCGCCTTTTAATATAAGAGTTCATTACAAGATTTTTTCGGCGACCGAATCCCTATTAAAATGAACAATCAAGATTCAAATTTCGTACAAATTTCAGTGTTTGATTTGACAGTGTCAGTTGGCTAACACCGTTACAAAAATATCAATTAAGAATAGGTAGTGTAGTTGACAACAATGAAAGAATAGTCGTAGATAAACGGTTATTAATAGAAAGTGGCCAATAATTAATACCCGATTTTGTCAAAATTAAGTAATATATTAATACAGTCGGTTTCACATAAAATGCAGGCATAAAAAAACCAAATAGGTTCTGTTTATATAGCCATACCTATGATTTTCAATAGGCACCTGGGTACGACCTGCTAATTGTTGTTGTTTAATGACTGGTATAAGATGGGTGCAAAATAAATGGTGCAACACTGAGAAATAACTATTATATTGTCCATGTACACATTTTATCTGAAATCATTTGTGCATATTACATATAAGTACAGTGAAACCTGTGTAAAACGGAATCGCATAGTCGTGAACTGATTTTAGGTAGTACCAGTTCTTCTGTACACTGAAATCTAGCATTTTTTGTTACGGTTTCATCTAATATGAAATAATCAGAAATTTGTTCCAACAACTATCCGAAACCAGTCATTGGTACCAGGATTCTGCCCAGTATATAATTTAGGGTCCTACTTACTGCGCATTATTCTGGTGGCAATGACTGGTTTTTGATCATTGTTAGAACAAACCTAATGAACGTTAAAACCGGGATTCATTTCAGCAACTAACTCTTCGATTTATTTTATATTGGCAATAATAAACCGCAACACTTGTTTTTTGTTAGGCATTTTGTAACTCCATGCTGGAGAGACTATGTTTGATGGTAGAAAGCACAATTTTATGTTGAATAGATTTATTTTAGGATTACACATTGCATTATCCGAAGATCTACAGCCAAAAGAGATAGTATTGTTTACAAAATTTCTGAAGCTAACACGGGTTCACTATCTAAGCGTCCTTGGCAGAAATGCAATATTCTGATTGAACAGTAGTAATGCATTCGTTCTCATACGAAATGTGAAATCTAATAACAGCGCAGTAAAAAAATCGATATTTGTAGTAGTTTGAATCTGGTTTTTCATTCATTTAACTCGGAGACTTGTTTATCACATCATGGGTTCATCACATCGGAATTTAAATATCAAAAACGTATTTACAATAAATTATTTGTAGATTTATATTTAACGGTTAACTATAATGATAGTATTGAAAATATATCTTTGTTCTTTCATATAGCAATATGTTGATTTCATTTTTCGTTACAGAGTAGAAAGAACTCCAGTCATATCTACGGAACAATTTATACATCTGTTTTTTAATAAAAATTGTTTTCAAAAATAGTTGGAAATTATTTTCAAGTTCCGAACTTTACAGCTAGAGGGCTTTATGCTCATTATCAATGATAAAAACTTGTTTTAAAAAAAGTCAAATTATGTTATGTAGAACATATATTCTGCAAGTAGTTTTACTTATTTTAACTACTCATTTATTATTGATCATATGCATTTCGCAATTTAGTAGTCTACTTAGAAACTTGAAAATAATGTTCATCGATTTATTTTGTACATTGACGATTTTTTTTTCCAAATATCTACAGTACATAGTTTCTGAGATACAAGCCATACCCTACAGCCAACGACAACCGGCGTCGTGTCTTATTTGGACACTCGGTACTTTAAAAAAACAATAATTATCTGCTTAACTGATAATTAAGACTAAAAAAATCGATATTAAATATTTACTGAAAAAATTCATTAAAATTAATAATTTCCCTTTAAGACTGATACGTCTATGCATGTTTTCAATACAGCCAGATACAGCTAGCTGAGCGCTGTTTGACCGCCATGTTACGGCAACATAATCGGTTGTCTCACTCCGATTTAGAGATAGAATGATTTAGGCCTTGACTTCACAACAAATATACTTTTATCAATGACTAGTTGAGGATGTGACATTATCCAAAAATAAAAGGATATGCCGATTTTCAAATTTTATTTTTTGATTAAAAATGGTTAGCCATTGTTCCATAAGAACAATAAACTCGTATTTATGTAATTACAGCTTTTGAACCTACATGTCTGGGATAATAGTTCTAAGTATTGATAATAGTGGGCTCTTCCGTAATCATAAACTAATTATGTAAACATCTCTAAGTGCTAGTTACCTACAAAGGAATCCTGGCTTATAAGAAATGTTTACATTAAAATATGTAGGTTATCGCTAAAATTTCCTTCATACACAGGATTCGGTGTTACACAAGGCCCGACTTACTCAGGTTTCACTATACCTACCTAAAATGTGTTTTAGGTACATCATTATTGTCACTATAACTTTAAAGTTCATTATCGGTGATGCAAACGAATGAGCTTAGAACATTTTTCTTCTGATAGATGGCATTGGTGTCCATATATTTTTCGATCAATCCAACGTCGTCGACAGTAATTGGTGACATTATTATCTTACTTGAGAAGATTGACAAAATAAGTTAAGATTGTTCACTCAACATTATATTACTCAAAAATTGTATTGTTCCCTTTTGCAGACACAAAACAGTATAATACTAACGAATACAACCTCCTCAAAATGCAATTCCATATGCCTTATGAGTAAACGGGACTCAACTAGAGCATAATATGCGCTTTTAGCTGGTATAGAATCTATTTCTTTTGCCACATTTTTGACTGAAAAACATTCAGAAGAAAGTTTTTCTTTAGCAATTCTATATGGTTCTTACATTTCTAATTGTCTAAATTAATGCAGAGAAGTTTTATTATTTTGTTATTAATTGATTTAACGTCGGTCTATTTATAACTACGAGGTTTAAACATCGACGTTAGTGGGCACGCTATCAGAGTTGGGTCGAATACTGAAATCCGGTATTCGAATACGAATCCTGAATACTGTATTCTAAATTGTATTCGAATAATCAATATTCGAATACAAAGAAAAAAAAGTATTTGAATACCGCTGTATTCGAATACCTGGATTCATTTACATATGAATACTTTATGAATATTCCAACTACAAATAACATATGCGCACATAAAGCTTGATTATTATTTATGTAGTTAATTTATAAAAATATAAAAAGAATTAAAAATCTATGTTAAATAAAACTAGAAATATCATTTTTTGATACACAGTGTCACAGTGAGGTTAAATAAAATAACTGTTTAATAAAAAGCATTTGTTAATTTTTATTTTTTAAAGTTTTATTAAAAAATTATAAATAAAAAGTTAAAATAAAATTCTTTGGTACACCGTCAGATAAAAACACAAACCATAACTCCATAACGGTGCAATTTTCGAAAACTAATTTTAAAAGATGGCTTTTTTTGAATATACATAAAAAAGGACTCTTACAAAATTTTTGAAAATTGCACCGTTATGAAGTTATGGTCCGAGGCGTATCTCGTGGGACACCCTGTATAATAAATAAAACTTAAAATACATTCATTGGAGATTGGAACACAGTAAGGTAACACAATAGAATTGCTTAGCAAAAGAAGCTATCCTTGAAAAATAATCTTGTTCTTGAATACCGGGATTCGATTACCGGGATTCGATTACAAAGTGGGTATTCGAATACTAGGATTCAAAAATGGTATTCTGAATCCAAAATACCGAGTACTGACTAAAAAAGTATTCAGTCGAATACCGAATACAGAAAACACAAATGTATTCGAATAGTATTTGAATACCAGCCAAATGTATTCTGAATAAGGTTCAGAGTACCGGGTATTCGAATACTACCCAACTCTGCACGCTATCCCCAAATATTAGAAATTTAGCCGAATCCTCTGGTGCTCCAAGCAGAGGGATCTTTAACGAGTCTTAACATCCATGGACCCATCTCCTCCGAAAGATGACATACCCCACGCTGTATCGTGTACTCATTAATATAACGTCCTGCAGACCATGTCCCAAAAGAACTGGAGAACTACTCTTAATGAATAGGAACCAGTTGAAAGTGATAACAGGGTTCATGACTGGGCACGCCCCAGTAAAGGGACACTTGAACAAAATTGGCATGTACAATGGGGAACTCATATGCCGACTATGTCACAAGAAACCAGAAACGGCCAAACACATACTGTGCGAATGCGAAGCTCTAGATCGGCACTTTTTGGACAACCCTAGGTTGATCCAACAACGTATAAAACCCACTCACCCAAGGATCTGTACAAACTTGTACAAGGTACAAAAGTGATAGAGTGGGTGCTATGAACTAACATGGGGTAAAACACAATAAGCCAATAGGCTTCAGTGTTATTCGGAGACACATAGTCAGACGAGCCCAGGAGAGGAAAAAAACGTCCTGCTAGCTGTGGTATGCAACTACGCGGATTTTTATAGGGTGCCGACTTTCCTTGGATAGTCACACATCCAAGTAATAACTGCGTGCGATCCTACTTGACTGCAGATATCTATACACAATATTGAACCTGCTAAGCTGGGCTGCTGCCCCAGAAGTTTTATTGTATCAGTATATTCAATATTATGACTTTCTATAAGAGTTACAGATCGACCAACATAGCTTTGCCTCTGAGATGCGCAAACGATAAACAGAGAGGGTTAGTGTGCGACAAAGACCGACTTCGACCTTTCACCGGGACATTAATGACCTCTCGCCCCACTCCGCCGACCAGTCTACTGCGCATCCAATTCTCAGAGGCAAAGCTATGTTGGTCGATCTGTAGATTTTTTTTTTTTTTTTCATATTTAGTACCATGCTTTGATGTTCTTAATGTCACGAGATATGTTATTATAAAGAATGTAGGAGTCGTTTTTTCACTACATAACGTTCCGCTTTGTGCAAATGCGACTTCAAAATCTTCTAGGGTTATTAAATTCCAAACAATCTGACTCCACAATATGTAACCTACTTCCCTATAGGAAAATGAACCAAATTCCTTTAAGCAAAACAACGCAGGACCTTTAGTAATACCATATTACCAACACAACCCGAAAAAAAAATTTATGAATCAGAAAAACCGAGTTGAAATTGCATCTTGCACCTCAGATTAACAACCAAAGGTTGTCAGTTCAATTCCCAACTGAATTTATTATAGTAGAAAAATTATGTTTCTTGTTAATGTTTTTGTTTATTTTCTTGTTTTTAGCCACAGGACGACAATCTGGACATCGCGGCGAGCATTAAAGCGCTGGCAAAAAGCGTCCACGGCGACACCGTTTTCGGGGAATTACCTAAACCGAGATTGAGCACGCAAATTTAGGATTGTCGACACACTGTCTTCCGCGCGCAACTTCCAAATCGAACCGGTGTGAAAAAATAAAGAAAAAGTAAGGTAAAACCGATCAGGAGAATCATCATTTTGTATATGTATGGTTTTTAAGTTTTTTTTTTTGTATTATATGTAGGAATCATCGAAGTTACAAAGGAGTGTTGCTTGTTGAAAATGTTGCAGTCATTTATAGTTTTTTTTAATAATATCAGTTCAATTTAAATCTATTTAAAACTGGAAATTAAGCTACATATTTTAACCTACTGTATTTTGTACTACTTAACAACTCATGTTTTGTTTAATGATTGTTTTTATGGTCGCAAGAAAAATAGTGTTTATAACTGGCTAAAAAGAGTATTACCTTGCTGGTTATGTGCGAAATATATCATTTAGCTACACTAGTTAAGTAATATACGATTTAAGAACTGTAAAGTTTGTAACTATTTTTTCAAACAAATTTAAAACCAAATTTAACGTGGAATAATTCGAAATATTAATAATGAAAATTAAAAATGGCTGCAATGACATTTAGTTTTGTAAGTTAGGTTATCAAATTGACGACACATTTTTTGAAGATAAATATTGAAAAAAAAAGCTGATATATTTTTTAATATTTGTAAAAAAAACTCTAACTTGTGTAATATATGTGACGAAACTTCGATGAGAGTGCTTTAATAACTTCTAAAGCTTTAAAAATACAAAAAAAATATGTGTAATGGAAAGCATGTAATTTAGTGTGGCCAGAAAGGGTATCAAAATGGGAAAGTTACTATGAAAGGAAAAGATTATCTCAGGAAATATAATAACGAATGCGAAATGTTTTATATATCTTCAGTTATGGAAACAGTTCAGATTTTAATCCGTAGTTTTCGAAATGTTTGCGATCAAATAGGGTTTGGGTATTTTTGAAATACATGTACATATTAACGTCAATTATTTTGCCGTAAAATTATCAAATTTAAAAATTAGGAATATTATCTTTTTTTACAAGCACAGTCAGCTGGTAGAACTACTCTTGCAGATGTTTAAACTTTTGATATTTAATCTTAAGTCGTTCATTGTGTAAAGCTGGATACTCGTTAAAATTGGGATATTTTGCGTTTCTACAAAGTAATGGCTCGAGTTCATGATCAAAATTGATTTTGAACAAAATTTGTTTCTGTGTCGGACTATGGTGCAAATATCTAAGATCCGTCATTGTAGGCTCATTTGTTTTCCTTCCAGGACGTATGGAATTATAACTCCATGTTGATGCCAGTGAAAAATTTTGAAAAAAGCCATGTGTTACGAAATAAGTATCTATAGGAAAGGGATTACATCTTGCTTTTCTAGTAATATTTATATAGTCACTGGGCATGTGAATAAAACGATTTTTCATTTTCCTCTCAATTAAACTATGCATTGCATCGCATTCCATTTGCGTATGTCCCTTCTCTAGGATTTTTTGTTCAATAATAACATTATTTCTTATTGAATATTGAAACAAAGCATTGCTCATAACTACATTCCTATTTTGGTAACAACACCCATCTGAATAAATTGTAATTGGAAGTTTGGCATCACTACACTTTTCTTTGATGTAGTGGACCAAAAAGCTTGCAAAGATGCTGATAGGTCACCTTCTGTTTCATTCCACCAATAGTAAGTACATTGGTGTGTCGCTAAATTATATATCGTGAAGTTGTGACAATTCAACTTCGTCTTAAATGGCACTAGCATTAATTACAGGACAAATTTTGACAGCCTGAACATCTACACTTAATGTATAATGCCTTTGCTTTATCTTCTTTTTATAATCTATGTCTGATATATTATTTGTTTCAAAAGAACAACCAATAACACATCTATCTTTCTTGGGTTTATGAAGAGAAATATTAATTTCCCTCAAAATTTCATCAAATATGGGAAATCTTAGAATGTAACTTTCTTTGTTGTTACTTTTACAAAAATGTCTGTAGATACGATAAAGATCTGCTTTTGTGCGAAACATTTGTTCTAAGTAAAATTTCTCTATATCTCTTCTGCAATAATAAGAACCAAGTTTTGGTAAATCATTTAACCATTGTCTTAGATAGTTTCTTTTTTCCATATTTAGTGTTTTATCAATTCGTGTTTGTTGTTGATCCTCCATTTTATTAATATTAATACCATGTTCAGTGTTGGTTATCCTTGAGATCCAAAGTTGACAGGAACATCATTTTACAAACTCTTTGGCGATTATTATCTTTCGTCCTTAAATAATAAATGTAAGTTCCCTTTCGACGAGATGGATCTCCAGTGGATTGCCTTTTAGTTTGTATGTATTCTACATTACCCCTAACATAAACTTTCTTCTTTTCCCAAGAATCCATATTATTCCAAAATTTGTCAAAAATAGAGCGTCTTTCTTCATCAGAGAATATTTGGCAAAAGCGTTTTTTTGGATTTCTTGCAGGCAACAGAATTTCTCCCATTTTTCGTCAGGTCGAGGTATGCCATCAGTAACTTTTCCATCTTTACTTATTTTGTATCCTTTATACTCTTTACCGCACACCCTAAGATTCTTTCTCGCCCAATCACATTCTTTTGCTTTTCTTTTTCTTGACCTCGACATATATCATTTTCTTTTATATCTGCTACATCATGAGTATCAGTTCCAATGTTTTCATTATTGCTTAAATCACTATAAACGTTTTGTGTACCTTGTAATGGTATATATTCAGGATCATCATCCTTATCGTTTGCAGAAGCTGAAGCTAAATTTAACCTTTCCTGTTTGTTTGTCAACTTGTATGGCACCATTTGTATTTTCGGATATTGTGTCAAAGGAAAATAATGTTTCATTAGTTTCTTCTTCCGATGTTGAACAGCTTGCTTGACATTCGATATGCTCCATTATGTTTATTGAACAAGGTATCCAGTTGATCTAGAACCTGACTGCAAAGATTTTCAATATCTTGGTCGTTGACTACCACAAAATCAGAAATATTATTACTACTTAAAATGTTATCTTCAGCTTCATTTGTACTAGGTAACTTATTTAAATTATCATTGCTTTTATAATTTGTTTTGTCTTTATTAGAAAAAACATTTTGTAAGGCAGAAACAAGAATTCTTCTGCTCCTAGGTAGGTACCCAATATAAAAAAATAATGAAAATAAATAATACCCCGTATCTTACAGAAATCTCAAAACTTATTAGAATGTTAATAAACCGTATTGTAAAGTAAACAAATAAGTTACACTTTAGAATAAATGTTTTTACAATATATTGTAATTTAATCAAAAATGCTTTTATAATCGTATTTATAAAAGAAATATAAAAATACGTACCTGATTATTAGACATTATCTTTAATTTATTATCCATATTAGCGAGGTCCATATTAACACCTGTTAACATAAGTAAAATGACCGATACGGGGTATTCTTTAAGGGTATTTTAATGCGATACGGGTTATTGAATAGTGAAATATTTGGAGCAGACTACTAGAGACATCTTTTAGCGAAAAAAAAATTGATTTTTTGCATATAGGGGTATTACCATTAAGCCATCGATATATAGTTATGAATGCGGATTGTAATAAGTGCTTTAATTACAGACCCATATCTTTCATTTCAATACTTACCTAAATTGTAGAAAAATTGGTGAAAACACTTCTTCTCTTCTTCGTTAACTTTATATGGGCTCTTCCGAATTATTTACCCAGCACTATTTGTTTTCAAATTTTGTTGGTCACTTTTACACTAGATATTTAGTGATTATTATTGTACTTCAGGGCTCCCGGTTCGGAGACCGCCATTTCAATGTTGCCACTACGATGTCCGAATCGGAAGTCTGGTGAAAACACTTATTTTACATTTTTTAAATCGTTATCTACTTCTCTCTCCAAATAAATTTGGTTTTCATATCAGTTTTATTATTTTCATTTTTGGACAAATTTCTCATTTTGAAATTCGTTGAGCTCTTCCTGGATTTCTTCTGAAACGTCTCTAACATTAGTACCAAATGGGTTAAGTATCAGTTTTTGATCACCTTTAGATTCGGTTGGGTTTGTTTAAAGATATTTAAATTCAACAAATGATAGTCATTGAAACACATGTAGTCAACCCATCTTGTTCAACTTACATTGCTTTCAAAATCTCTTATTCTTTTATATGTGCTTCAGGACCCTCCCTCGGACCACTCGTTGTCCCAACCATCTGTTGGGAACAACTGTTCTAAACGAAAATTTCAAAAATAAAACAATCTGCCTTTGTATCTCGATTACCTTTTTCTAAGAAAAAAAGAACATCTTCAAAATCAAAAACAACAATACTGAAACTTCAATCATTGTTCAAAATGCTGCCAGTCTATTAAAATCCAAACACTTTGGAAACATTGTCAATAACAGACCCACTAGGCAACTGTTGGCAATGAATTAAAGAATAACCTATTTAAATTACAACAGATTTCTATTTAACCAACTTGGCAGTGGCGTAGATCCATTTTAAAGTCGATTTTCAAAACTTAAGGCTTCTGATAGGTATTAAAAATTTATATATTTATGTTCATTCAAGGAAAATGAAAATATTAACAAGTTTTAATATGTACATGAATTTCAAAATCGCCTAGTGTATGGTATACTTGAATTTGACCGCCAACCTAACTTTGATCTAGATTGCAGATATAGAACAACCTGTCTATTCAAAAATACCTTTTGAATGTAGAAATTACCGCTATAAACCATTCTATATATTTTTATACACTACACTCTGACCAACATAAATTGGGGGGACTTCTATAAATGCGTATTTCTCAATCAATTTAAAAAATTAACTGTTTCTATGTAGAAATATAAAAATAACTCATGCGTTCGTTTAATAACCCGCTTTTTTATATTGTATCAAAAAATAATGATGTTTCTATACTGTTATTAATTGGATAAAATATTTTGTAAACAGTTGTATTAAAAAAAACCGTTATTTAAAAGTATCATTGTTATTTTTTGTAAAAATTTACAAAATATAGAAATCTAGTCCTAAATTGGCTGCTAACTTAAATCGCTTTTTCTTTGTTTTTGTATGTTTTAAGCACAAATGTTTTCAATTATTTTTTTCTCTATAAGTACCTGTGCCATAATTGTTATTTTTTACCACAGCGAATTTTTAATCTTTATACAACCAGTGTCTGTCCGAGTATTTTTATGATTTTTCTTGAAAAAAAAAAAATATTTTTGATTCTACTTTTCTTATATACAGTGTGTCCCACTTTTCACGTAGCCCCAAAACTGTTGAATCTTCTTTAATAGAAGTGAGATTATTTTCAAATTTGTTGATTTTGACGTTTAATACGATTAGTTTGATATAAACGCATTTGATGTAGGTCTCGTTTGAGGGGGTAATAAGGGTCATATTTTCAAAAAATATATATGTATATAGGCGATATATTTTTAAATTTCCAAAAACCCGTTAATACCCGAATATCAAAGAAAATCCTTCAGATAGTCATAGATATGGTACCACCTCTCTTATTGTTACTCTATGTACTTTGAAAAAACCTGTAAATTTTTGTTTGTTGCATTTAATTGCTTTTTGCTCGTTATCAATAAAATTTGCATTTATTAGTGTTAATTTTAATTTTTTAACCAACTTCTAAAAAAGGAAAAGGTTCTTAATTCGTCGAAATATTTTTTTATGTATGTTCAGCGATAATTTTTTACCACGTTGTCCGATTTTTATCATTCTTTTTTTGTAAGAACCTAGAGTTGGTCCCATATTTAGTCAAAATCTAATAGATAGATCGTCAAACTTTTCATTTTTTTATTTATGTTCGGCGATCATTCTTTATTGCCTTGTTCGTTTCTATGATACTTTTTTTCTTAGAAGGGGTACCTCATATACATTTAATAAAGATTGGTGATGAATCTATGAGAAAATCAGCAAACTCAATTTTTAATGGCAAGATTTTGAAGACGATTTTTTAAAATTACTTTTATAACTTCTTCAACTTAATGTTAGTTATTAGTTAATGCATTTTCTTCTGTATATCTATCAATTCTCTTAGATTTTTTATGACCTAATATTGTTGTATTCTTGCATTTTGCAATATTTTATCCATTCTATGATCAAAAAAAGATTTAGTCGAAATTCTTGCGATTTGTTGACATTTAGTTGTATTTTTACTTTATCAATAGCGTTATCGTCCTAAACTTATCACCCAAAAAATCTAAACTCACTCTAACAGCATAACTACTATTATTTATAGTCTAAGAACCTACCGTAAAATTTCTGCACTCATCTGTTTTTTAATCAAAATAATTTTTATAGATAATTGTTGCTACAGAAATACGGTTTTGTTGGGTTTGCCTAACAAAATATGGCCGCGAGTACTTTTAATGGTACTTTTTTTTAATAATAATAATAATAATAATAATAATAATAATACTCTCCCTAATTCACCCCCTTACAAGTGAATTTCAATCCCTGAAGTTGACTGAACGACTTGTGTAGGGGAAGGGACGGCTATTATTATTATTATTATTATTTGCCGTGGCGCTCCTGGGCGACTTAAAGATGATTGATGGTGCCATTTGACTTAAAGGTGAGGAAATCCCGGAAAACCTCACCCACCACCATAAGGTTTTATTCAATTTTTTATGAGTTTAAAAGAAAATTCTTTCAACAAGAGTTGTTTGTGATGTTTTTCCCTATAATTTTGGTTAATTTCACGTTTTTTTTTTTTTTTAATGGACTGTGATGGAGAAAAAATGGAAAATTTATAATTTTGATATCTTACAGGAATATTTGTACTTTTCATCAAATTTCTCCATTATGGTCCATTTTATAGAAATCATGTATATGACCAAAATTATAAAGAATAACATCACAAACAACTTTTGTTGAAAGAATTTTCTTCTATAACCATAAATAACAAAAAATATACCTTAAAGTAGAAATTAAAAGTACTTGCGGTTATATTTTGATTGGCAACCAAGCAAAACGTATTTTTCAATCAATAATTATCTATTATATGATCGAATCTTAGACTATTATTCTTGCTACTATCCAAATTTGAAGGAAATTCAAAAAGTTGTTGAGCCAAACCATGAGTTTCTTAAATATCATCAAAAACTAACTTTTAAACATTTTCCGAGAAATCATTTTGAAATTTGGTGCGCGTTTTAAGGCAGACACTGTATATACATTCTACAAAAAAGTTTTATTGATGTAATATGCAGTACAATTAATGTTTATAGCCATTCCTGATTATTAAAAAATGTGGACATATTTTTCGTAATTTCTCTAAATCAGTTGCCACATCCCGTGCTAAATGTAGTGCACATTTTTTTTTGCTTATAACTTTGCATCTGAACAGCTAAGTTTCTGTACCCTTAGAACTATTGTGCATCCTGTCCTAAAATGGTCTACAATGTCGCCGAGAGGTGTCTTCTGCTTCTTACTACATATGGAACATATTAAATTTTAACGTACACATTGTGGACGGGTTTAATTGACAATTGATGTGTATATATTCATTTTATTTTCATCTCAAATGTAAAAAGTCAAATGCAACTTTACAATTCGTAATTTTACTTGCTGCAATTCCTATTGATAGCATGAGAGTAATTGACAGTCCAAATTGTCATGTATATTTATCGTTTTTTCAGCCATATTGGCTTAGAACATCGAGATTAAATAACGTAGAGACGACATAAACACTATTTTGTGATATGACAGATGGACGCACTTCGAATGACGAAAAAGTGTAATGAAAATGGCGACTTGAGTCGTATTTTGATTTGAAGTCAATAATTTTATGT